CTGCCAGTGAGAAATGAAGCTCCACTGCTGTGCTAGGCACGCAAACTGAGCAGGTTCTCCTAGGATAAGCAGGCACCACTTCACTAGCATTAAGCGTTTGTTATCCCAGCCTGATAGCGGGGGAGATGGAATTCATCCCTCTGCCTGCGATTCCTGATACGTGTTAGTTGAATCAGTTCAGACCTTTCCTGATCTTCCAGCTTCCGACACGTTGATCAGCACTGCTTGTTGTGTTTCGCTCTCTGATCCTGTATCAAGCTCTGGGCACTGTTACCTTGCTTGTTAGCAGGCACTGCCTGGGTGAGATACAGCCAAGCACTGGGGCCCTCGCTGAGGGACCACACAACCAACCACACTTGACCACACAGTCTGAACAGGGTCATTTAGATGCCTTATAGTGAGACTTTAGCAGCCCTGTGTTGTTTTTCCAAACTGTTTTCTATGTTGCTGGTCTTATTCCAGCCTGAGATTGTCCTGGCAATAACAGAGCTGGAACCAGCCCTGTTTGTCATACTCTATACTCAAAGATGCTTCCCTTGGTCTCTTTGGCAGATGCTCTGCACATTTGTCCTGCTTCCTCTAGGTAGTTCCAGCATCAGCTTGGTTTGGTAGCTGAGCACTGGGTTCATTTTCTGAAGGGTTTCCAATCCAGTCATGCTGCTGGAGCAAGAGGCAGTAGCTCTAAGTCACTAACAGCCTTTAGGTGTTTGTCTGTTGATTTACTTTCTGGCAATGCACCAAACACATTTGTTAATCCACCTTCTCTCTGTGTTTCCCAGCACTGGAACCCTCACCGTTAGCTGTTGGGTGTGATTTCAGATGTGTCTTTGGACAACACATCTCTGGGTGATGTCCATCAGGAACTGGAAGACACCAGGAGTTATCATTGCTGCTGGGTGCAGCTGAAAGCAAAGGGTTGTGGGCAGCAGAGGTCAAAGGGACTTAGTCTTTCCTGTCCCCTTCTCACTAAGGACAATACACAGAAATAAGGGGTTTTCAGCAGTGTCTCACTAGAGTGTAATTGCCACTAACTGCACTGTAATTAGGTAATCACTGTAACAAACACAGCCTGAGGCAGGGTGCACCAACGTAAATGCAGCCTGTGGTGATGTGGGCTTTATGGCATTCTGGAAGCGTTGTCTGCCCTGTGACAACATCCAAGGCCAGCCCTGGGCTGTGTTTTGTACATACACGTTTACAGAGACAGCCAAGACGTGTGGGGAGAGCACGGCAAGACAAGGATCAGTCTGTTCTTGCCTTGTTGCTTTGGCTTATCCCATGATGCAAACATCTGCTAATCAGGTAGTTGGACAGATGCCCTGACCCGGTGTACAGCAGTAGGAAAGTGTCTGGGAGGGGTGGCTCAGTGCTGTGTGTGTGGCACCCTGACTGTGATGGTGTTTGCATGTATTGATCATGCCACTGAACTCGGTTAAACCTCGTGTTTTCTGCCATCAGTGCTCAAGTTGCTCCAGGGCTGTATGGCAGGTTCCTGATTCTATACAAGAACCAAGAGCTTGTTTGATTCAAAGTCACAGATTTCTTTCCTTTTGCATTGAAGAGAAACCTCTATAAGCTGTTGGTGCTATTAGGACTTATATCTATACAAATAAACAGCAGAACTGCTCCCAGTGTGTTTTCTACCTCCTGCCTCTCCCCTAGTTTTGAGCTTTCTGTGCCTCCTTTTCCCCCTTCCTCTGGCAAGGCTTGCTGGGGCTGAAATATGTGCAATTTGGAGTCTTTCTCTATTTCGAAAACTGCTGCTTTATCAGCCTTGATGGCTGAGGAAATGGTACCCAACACCTACATGGAAATGGTGACTGATTTCAGGGTGACTGCTTGCGGTTTTCTGCAAGGTTCCAGCTTGTTCCATCCCTCCTGGTGCATTCACCTGCCCTGAGGTGGGTAGTGCTGCTGCTTGCACATGCAGGAGTTTATCGCTGTTGGCTGTGAGCTGAGCAGAAGGGATTTTGGGGGTTCAAATGAAGAAGAATGGTACTTTCCTCCTCTCTGAAGGACTACAGCTCTCTGTAGTCCTACAGCTCCTGCAGAGCTGGCTGGTTGCTTTGGACTGACCAAACAGATGAAGAAAAATATGAGCTTTTCAAACAGGGGCAGGTCTGCTTGAAGCAATAGTCAGGTTATTGGCGGAGGGAAGATGAGTGTATCTCTTCTGGAAGCTGAGCTGGTTTGTATCCCAGAGGAATATGCTGATACTTGGTAGGCCTCCAATGCCTGCAACTGAGAAGAGGACATGCCTATTGATTTTCCTTGCTGGTGTCTCCGTGTTCCTGTGCATTGCATCCAGCAGCCCAGATTTAGAATTCAATCTGTGTCTGTTTGTTTCTTGACAGAAGAGGATGAAATAACAGCCAGGCTCTGTTTGCTTTATAGCCAGGAGTAGAGAGCTGTGTCTTACCATCAGCATAAACTGTGCAGGGGTTTGTGATGTTTCAGATGAGTGATGCTGCTACTCTGTGGAAGTAAATCGCAGTGCTCTGGAGTGAGCCCCAGGTTCTTCTGTAGCAGTGCACTTGGAAAGAAGCACATCAGAGGCACATCTTTCTCACAGCACTAGGAGTGGCAGACACAGAGTTGTTCATTCAAGCTTGGTGCAGAATCCAGGGATGTCAGAACCTGTTTTGAGAGGTGGGGAGTTCACAATCTATACTGGAGGGGGTGAGTGACGTCCAGCAAGTCACTGACCCTCAGAGGTCCAGCTTGGCTGAGCAGAGGAAGGACCATCTCTTAGCACAAGGTCGGTATGGGACTGCAGTGAAACAGCAGATCCTTCTTTGCCTTGCTCTAGTGCATGCCACAGGAGTGAATTGGACCTGGGAGTTATCTCTACATAAATCTGAGGATTCTATAGTGAATTAGGGAACTGGAAACAAGGCAAAGTGAATGGAACCATTTGTCTTCTCGCTGCTGCCTTCTATTGCATCTTCCATCTTTCCTGAGCTTGCTGAAGTACATGGAACAAGCAGGTCAACAGGGGAAGAGAATGAGAAGTGCTTGGCCTGGCGCCTGCATTTACACTGTGTTGGTGAGCTTTGAATTGGCAATTCTTCTCTGCAATAGAAGAGAATTGCAGAGCTTTCCAGGAATTGTTTGTAGAATAGGGAAAATACCCAAGACACACCTGAGTTCTAGTGGAGGAATTCGACGAAGGGCAGCGTAAATGCAGCAGATGGTGCTTGGCTAGGGAGGAAGGCAGTCATGGGGCCTCCTTGTACATGTTCAGCCATGGTGGTTTGAGTTCTCCCTGCGGCTGGAGGTGCTCTGACATAACCTCCCATCAGGGGACTTGAGCAATTCAAGGATAACGTGGCCCTTATGTTCTGGTCCCAGCTGGGAAGATTGAAGCCATGGCGTTCCATGTGTGCATAGGGGACTGCCCTTCCCACCAGGAGCTTTGTGTTCCCTGACCTCTGTAGATGTCCTCAGCTCCCTTCCGGAAGGCTTGCAGAGGTGAGCAGACCCCTCATAGCTGTACAGGTTTCTTTAGGAGGTGGTATGGAGAAAGAAGGATCTGTTTGGTTTCCAGACCCCAGTAATTTCATGAGAGCCAGCAATCAGCCTTGGACTGGCTCCTGGACTGGAATTATATCAGGAATCAGAATATTCCCAAAGCCCTCATCGGTCTCTGGCTTCCAGGAAGTTATAGGAAATACGGAACAAAGAGAGCGTATTGTAACTTACAGAGAAACAATCTTCATTGGAGCAGGTACTGACTGAACTTCACGTTTTCCATGTTATTCCTAAAAGCATTTTGCCTTGCGCCTCGTCAAAGAGCTGTCCAGGAAGAGCAAAATTGACCTAGTGAGTAGGGGACATTACCAGGGAGAATCCTGGGGGCATTTCACCTGAATGGTGAAGAAAAAGAAGATACGTGGGACCCTACGGGGTCCTTTTCATGCGGTCATCTTGTTGGGCAGCCGGACAGGTGTGCAAGATGAGGGCAAGTATATTCCAAGCTCCCTGCCTGGCAGGTGTTTAGGAGGTATGGATTCATTATCTCCTGTTGAAATGGGTTTCCTCACTTTTAGCATCAGCAGTGCTGCAGGGGAGCTCCCATGGGATGAGCTCTGGGGCCATCTCTTCTTTCCGCAGCTCGGTGTTGGTTTCACTTCAGGCTGGATTGGCAATGATTACCTGGGAGGGGTTCGGTTACACTGAGCTTCAACAAAAGCACCACCAGATGCTCAGGGAATGTTTTAAACGTAAGCTCTAAGCCTGGTGTTGTTTGGAGGACTCTTTCCCAGTCCCCATGGCTAATGCTTGGAGGTGGCTGACGGTCTGCTGTAGCCTTGGAATCTTGCTGAGAGGTGAGTGGATAACTTTCTCATACAGGCAGACTTCTGGTTTAGTCTGGTTTGGTTTTACTTTGGTTTTAGTGGTGCTGATATGGTTACCTCCAGAAAGCTATAAGCTAACAGAGATGGTGGTTGTGTATATAAATATATATGTACACATGTATATATGTGGCTTATTCTGGTCATAAAGAGATGAATGTAGCTGCCATTCTTCCAGTCTTTTCTAGGAATTTATTCAGGGAGAAGGCAGGAGAAGGTGGGGCATCTATTCACCATGAGGTTTTAATGGTCTGAAGAGAGAAAAAGCCTGAGCATGTCAGTGTTTTCAACATAGAAAGTATGGAGAGCAAAAAGGGCGATAGTAACTCAGGGTTTGTTCTGTTCTTTAAGTTCAGGTTTCAGCATCTTTGTATTCATCACCTTTCTCTTCTGGAACATGAAGTCAAGAGACATCCTCAAGAGGGCTGGGTGAAATGGTGGAGTGCTGTGTCCCATTCATAACCACCATTCTTCTATAAAGGCAAAGCAATGTTCTTAACAGTAAAAGTCATTGCTCTAGTACTACTAGTGCCATTGACACTGATGACAAAATAGTGCAGATACTACATTATGGTGTGATAATAACTGGGCATTAACTTAGAGTCATGAATTTGTACCTTCATTTATTTCTTCTGCTTTCTTCTTAGGGGCCTTTTCCCTCTCCCCAGGCTGTAGCACAGACTGCCAGACCCACTGCCTCATAGACTGCAGGCAGGGATATTACTACACAGCTGGCAACTGCTTGGAATGTCCAACAGGTTTCTAGTAAGTCTCCATCTTTCCTTCCCTCCTGCTCGGCACTGCAGGAAGGGAGTTGAACACTGGGGACATCATTTTTACTCAGAATATCCTGAGAGCAGTCTTACAATGCAGATCAGGAGGTGGGGCACAAAGCGAGTGCAACTGGCCCGGTCCCTTATAGGTGATGGGGAATCCACTGTCTTTGACTTAAACTGCCATCCAGGGCTTTCTACAGCATCCGGAGCAACCCTCGAAGTCAATGGGAGTGGGGAATGTACAAAACCAGTTTCCCTTTGCTATTGCTTAGGGCAGATCTTGTGCCCTGTGTGTGTTTAGGAGGGGCAGGGATGTTGTTTGGAGTCAGGTTTCCAACTTCTTTATTTCTGATCCAGTTGCCCTGGGGGTCAAGCAGCTCCAAGGAAATGCCCACTGGGAACAGCCAATGTACTTACGGCTCAAACAGATATCACTGCCTGCCAGGTGAGCTGGGGGACAGGGGGAAAGAGCAAGCAGTAAGTAGTGCTTTCTGCCTCTATTCCCACCTATTCTGAACCGTCAGGCTTCTTCCCAGATTTTACAGTCTGCTTTGACATTGTTCGGGATATTCCTGCACTGTTTGGCTCTGATTTGGCTCAGAGAAAGCGGCTTGCTCTGATCATGCAAAGAATGCGTCCCCGTGGATCTGATGCTCCTTGTGATCCTACTGCAGGTTTGTCCCCGTGGCTACCTCAGCCTTGAGAGTGGAGCTGGGTGCCGTGCGTGTCCAGAGGGATATTCCTGCCATCCCCAAAGCGGTGTGCAGAGGAGCTGTGCTCCTGGTCAGTACTCACCAGAGGGAGACTTGGAGTGCCAGGAATGTCCAGAGACTTACATCTGCCCGGATGGGCAGAGCAGACAGGTACAGAATGAGTGTGTTGTTCTCCAAGGGTAAACTTGGGGTAGGCAGAAGTGAGTCGTCAGGACGAGTCAGGCTTCCCTGCTTTCATAGTAGGATATAACCTTTCTTCCTCAAGGAAAAGCATTCAGTACACTTCAGTGGTGTACAGTAGACCTAAGGCCTTCTACAAGTAGCCTTTATTAATAGAAATAAACGTTTCCCATCTAAATTGTGAGGCTGTTAGTGCTCAGATTATCTGCCACCGCTAAAACCCTCAGCTGAGGGCTCAAAAAGCCTGGAGCTTGAAGTACTCTTTTTACTTCCCTGGTGGTGGGAAGGGAAAAGGCAGACAAGGAGGAAGCAGGAGACAGAATGAAGCGCTTTCAGATAGAATGAAGGGCTTTTTCCTGCCTCAGGCCTCCCTGGGACACAGCTTTGAGCAGCAATGGCCATTTGGACCTTGTGGTGGGATCAATTCTTGTTTCTTCCCTTTAGCATTGCGGGGCTGGTGAGCAGCCGAATCCAAGCCGCACTCAGTGTATAACCTCCGCTCCCGGCCCTTTCCCAAGGGAAGACTCTCTGCTGTGCCAGCCCTGCCCAGCAGGTAGGTACATCTCACCGTGTCCTCTATAGGCATTAGACCCTAAGGAGACTGCCATGGCACTTTGCTCTGGTAAAGCTTAGCTGGCAGTTTGGGAACAGAGGTTGGTTCCTTGTGGGACAGCAGCACTGGAGGTTAAAACCAGCAGATGCCATCAAGAAGGGTTCCTGAAAAGCAAGTTCCTCAAGTGCTGCTGAGCCATGAGGAAAGCTTTGGCTTCCCCTTCCCTCCCAGAAAGCTCTCCCTCTCTGTGGGTTTTAACTGATCATCTGTGAAATTGATTCACACACAGTTATGTCTTTCTCCACTTCAGGGGCTGGATTCACAGGCTATCACTAATACCCATTTATAGTGGGTGCTGTAGCATTCAGAATCAAATAAGGCCACGCTGTGGTTTTTTACCTAATTCCTCTCTCTGCTTGACACTCTCAAAGACATGCAGATAGGCCCATGTTTAGGTGGTTGCAGTGTGTTGTCACTGGTGGGGGTACAAATTCCTCACTGAGATGCTGGTGCAAAATTAGGCAGCAGGGGAACAGAATAGGAGGGACTGGGCAGAGGATGTCATTTCACGTGATTCCTTAGCCAGAAGGAAATGATGGAGTAACTGTGAAAGCACCTTAGCTTACAGTCTGTGAGCGTTTGTTTGGGGATAATCCCAACACAAAACCCCAAAGCTTTGTGTTTGTCCAGGCTGGGAGCGTGCAGCTCTTCAGTGACATTGGAGGTTAAGCTGTCCTGGTACTGAAGGGCTGCTTGGCTTAGTTTCCCCATAAAAAGAGAGCTTTCTGCAGCATTAAAACCCCTTATGCATCCAGGAGAATGAGTATAAGCCTAGAGAGGATTTGGTAGCCCAATATTAGCTTCCTGTTGGGCTTGTCTCCTGTGATACAGTGCAGTGCTTTGGTGTCCCTCCAAGGTCCTCAGCATCAGTTCAGCTCCATTCTTCACCACAGTCCTTGGTAAGAGGGAAAGTTGGGTGCTGCAGTAGCAGGAATATCATTGAGAGTTCCCTCCACCCACCTTCAGACTTCATTTCCAAGCACACTGGCCTTACAGGGAGAGCATGGGGTAGCTCTTACTACAGAGATGCAGTTGTGATCTGCAGTCCTATCATGCTTTTCCTTCTCCTGTAAGCCCTACACAGCTCCAGGTGCCTCCTGCAGAGTCACTCAACTCAGTAACTTAATTCTTGTGTCTGTAATTAGAATCCCTCTTATTAAATAATGAAGAGTTCCTGTGCTCTGGGTACCTTACGTGTTGTGCAGTAGAAGGAGAAATGGCGAAGCTAAAGAGATCATGCTAGAGCAAGACCTCAGGAGTTTAGATTTAGTTATAATAGAGAGACGAGAGGACAGAACAGAGGATTTCTCTACCTGCCATGCACAGGATCAGCCAAAGGCTGCAGTCAGGTTTCACCTCCAGTCTATCAACCACAAGACCTGAGAGAGCAAGTGCGAATCTCCTGATGCTCAACACGTTCAATATATGCCAAGGATCCCAAGGTGAAATTCAGTGTTAAATGAGTACCTCTTGTGTCCTTCAATTAGAATAAGTCATCCAGCCCAATTGCAAAGCCCCTACATGGTAAGGAGTTTGACTACCACCACAAGCAGGAGAGGCCTGAGGATTCCCAGTGGGATATTTCATGGTTTGCCTGAGTTTAATTCCATATAATCTGTGTACTCAACATCGTGTGCATGGGAATAATGTGTCATTGCTATTCTAATACATAGCAACACATCTGCACTTAGCAGTGGCACTTCATGCCAGAGGTAAATCCTTCTTTTCACTCTTCAAATATCCATCTGGAATTTAGAAACTAGTTGATACTCAGGGTTTACAAAGCATTACTTGGAAAGAACAATTCATTGTAACTGGATATGAGCATTTCATCACTAGATGTGCAACTGGCAGGAGGATCTCAAGGGAAAGAGGAATGTGGTCCTTAGAGCAGGAACACTTCAGCTCATCTTTCCATTTTGGAGAGAGCAGAAGAATTGGAATAGGAAGAGAAGAATTAACTCTGATGATGCCAACTAATAAAACTAACTGGGATATTTAGCTGGAAATGTCACTGTATGTTTTGAATTGGATTTGAATCACCAGCTCAGGTTTTACCTAAGGAAGAAACACTTTTGGATGGGAAATGGATGAGAATTTACCAAATCTTGTCAGAATTTCCAGACTCAAAGATTTGGGCTATCTCTAATGTGCTGCTTCTCCCTGAAGTGACCTGCTGGTTTCTTCCACTGATTATGCCCATGCATCTCTGCTTCTATTGCAGAACCAAGCCTTCAGGGTGCAACGTTCAGACACCATGGTATGATTTAGCCGTGGATACTTGAGCTTTCCCTTTATCCCCTGCAACACAGACATGCATCAGCGTGCAAGAAACCCAGCAGCGCTCTGCTCTGACTTACAATGTCATTGCTAAACCACAGGTTGTTTTCTTCTTCTGTAGGTCACTTCTGTCCTGATGGCCTTGCAGTCCCTCCATGCCCAGCAGGGAGTTTCAAGCCCAAAGAGGAGCTTCACCCCCCCAGCAGCAGCAGCTCCTCATGCTTGCCAGGTCTGTGTCATAAAAGATCTTCATTTTGGGCACTGGGGTTATAATTCTCACTGTAAATCACGCTGTTAAAGCACATTCTTGTGAAGGGTCTGCAGCTACAGTACGTGTTTACTAGGCTCTGGCTCAGGCAGTCCTAGAGCTCTGCATGAAAGGACCACCTATGGAACTGCCTATGAATCACCAGATTTGTGGTGAAGCATTTGGGGATTACAAAGCTGTTACATCTAGAAGTTACTATCCCCTTATTTCACTTCACTTACATCACTTACGGACTTGGACCCTGATACTTAGATCTCTGCCCTATGCAGACACTTGAAAGAAGTTGCCATGGCAGGGAAAAGTGATGCTTGTACTTAGAGCAGAAGGAAAGAAAACCAAGGAGCAACCTGACACAGTGTGCTAAAGGCATCCAGCAGGTCAGCTGTGAAGCCAAAGTCAGCAGCTGCCTGTTGCTAAAGCTTATTCAACTGTGTCAGCTTTGCATGAGTCACCTTTTTTAGCACAATTCTTGTAGCAAAGGGAAATAAGGTTACAGATTAGGCAAAACTTCATTGTATCAATCAAAAAACAATGGAATTGAAGCCTTCGGAAGCTGTAGAAGCCCTGCCCTTAAGAGTGCCACTTTCTTATAGTGCCAAGTAGATGAAGCAGCATGTCGTGTTCTGAAATGCATGCAAGGAGGTAGGCACAAAGCTTCCACAGGTTTCCAGCTCTCTTCTGTGACCTTTCCTTTGGTTTGCACCCAGCAGGGCTGAGTTCCTGGGAAACCTGTGGAAGGTGATTGGATTTTGCAGTTTAGTAACGGATAAATGAATCGAGAAGGACAGAATAATGGAGCATGGTAACTACATCTTTGCTTAGACATGCAAAGGGAGACCTGGCTTTCTGCTGCAGCAATTGCATGCTGCTGAGGCAAGCTCTGCCTGGGTTTGTGCCCTGCAGAGTAACTCAGTGTCTCACAGAGGTGTAGAAATTGCTGCTTCCTCCTTCACAGTGCTGTACAAATGGGGAAAGAGAGACAATCAGAGGGATGCTCAGGGGATGAGCTCAGTTCACTCGAGTAAACTTTGGTCCAAGTCCAGGATGTTTTATCCAGGGTCACAAATCACCGTGTGCACTGGTAGGAGCAGAAACCTTGCGTTCAGCTGCTCAGTGGTCATGTTAGGCCTGTAGTGCTTTATGTACTGAGTCAATTATGCTAAGGAGCATTTGGCAAAGGCGGGACAACACCTGCAAAGCAGGGGATATGTGAATAAACCCTGAGTATTTCGTGTACGCTATCATGAGATAGGTGATGGCTCATATGGTTTAGCTAAGTGGTGTGGATTCTGGTTCTGTCATATGGCATTCCCACTGGATTTGCTGCTGGCACAGACCCCCATCATGCAGCTGTTTTCATCTTAAGGCAATGCTTAAAGTTCCATGAGGTTGCAGCCCCCCTTCAGCTGCGTTGACTCCGTTGCTATGCTCAGAGCTGGGGGATTTTATAGCCTTGAGAACTTCAGACCTGGTTCTAGCGAGCTTTTGGACCCTTGTGTTCTTCTGGGCCGTGTGGAGTAAAGGTAAGGGGGAAACAATGAGGGTTTTGTGGGCTGGGAATGAGCAAGTGGGTGGAAGGCAGAGGTGACCCTTGAACTTGCTTTGCACCCTGAGGAATCCTGATGTGGACCTGCACCTTCCCTCTGTGGAGGGGGAAACCTGGGCTTGAATAAATCCTGGTCATTTTGGGGTGCTGGAGAGCTCTATTCCAGCCTGCAGAAGCACATACACACCGGGATGTGCTTGAGCCTTGCTTCAACAAGCGTTTGGAAGGCAGCAGGGGTTCAACCTGGGAGTACTCCATCAGCCAGTGTTTCCCTTCCCCTTGAATTGCTCGAGTTGCTTTGTGCAGGAGTGACACTCCTGTGCTAAAGTTGTGTTTCCTCTTCACCCACTGAGATATCTGGGGGCATCTTGTGACGAAATGCACTTTCTGAGCATGGTAACAGCAGGAAGGAATCGTTGGGTTATTACGTCTTGATCTTACTAGCGTTCCTCTAAGTCACAATGCACGCCTCCTGTTTAACAGCCAGGATTTTAGGGGTGCTCACAGCTCACTGCTTGTCATTCAAGCCAGGTATCCACGGGTCCTGAGCATATCTCCAGTCTGTAAAGCATGGAAAACCCCATACAAGCATGGAAAACCCCAGGCTCTCTTCCAGCAGAAGCCTGAGCATGAGGGTTATTAAATGTACCTGCAGCAGAGCATGGTTTAAGGCTGATGGTTTTATGTTTAATGTGTCTCATTTCTTGTCCTGTTGTCTCAGAACACAATCCAGATGGTCTTACTGCTTGCATGAGCCACTAAACCTCACTAGCTTTCAGCTAATCCAACAGCACCACCTTCTGGCATTGCAGTGATTTTATTGGTGGTACAAGCAAAGGAAGCACGTTCCATGGGACCCTCTGTTTTGTCAGCACATCACGCTTCCTTTGGGGACCTTAAATGCCTTCTTTCTGTCTCTCTTCAGGACTTGGGTTGTGCTGGAAGTGCCCTGCTGGGTATTTCTGTCCTGCTGGAGCAAGTCACCCAGTGCCGTGCCAGCCAGGCACACACAACCCTCTGCAAGGCCAGGATGAAGCCACTGACTGCAGAGCCTGCCCAGCAGGGAGAGCTTGTACCCAGGCTGGCTTAGCCCAGCCTGATGCTGAGTGCTTACCGGGGTAAGCCTGGCTTGGTTCCTGTGCTGCTGCTGATGTCTGTGCATGTATTTCACCTCCCCTGGTTTTGCTTCGTGTGTCAAGAGGTGCAGGTGGTGCTGCTGTGTCAAGACATCACTGCAGTTCCCGTTGAGTCAGTGTTGATGTAGCCTGCTCTGGTGGAGAGCACTGTTGCCACTGAGTAGGTTATAAAATTAGCCAAGGATGAAGCCAGGCCTCACATCCCATGGCTGTGAACAGCACAACCTGGCTGCATAACCTACTTTTCTTTAGATGAAGGGTGTTTGACGCAACCAGTCCGTTCACTGTGTTTCACCTTCGGGATTGCTGCATCTCCCCAGCTGCAGCGCTCACCCTAATACTGTCACAGGGCACAGAGTTTGTCTCCTTCTTGCACCAAAGCTTAACCTGCTGTGTTTTGTCAGGTACGTGTGCCCAGCAGGGTCATCCAGCCCTCATTCTCCCAGCAACGCCTGTCCTCCAGGAACAGTCGGCAATGATTTCAACCTCTTTGAGAAGTCCCAATGCGAAACGTGCCCAGCTGGATTTGCCTGTGGGAGAGGTAAGGAGAGGCTTTATGGCCAAGTGAACTGTGTTCTTTGGTGTCACAGGGCCCACTGGGACATCCTGGAACAGGTCAATGAGCTATCACAATGACGGTAAATGGGAAAAAGATGCCCAAAGTGGTACTGCAGAGACTGCTGTGCCCTATGGACAAGGTAAATTTATTCTCAGGTTCTCTCTTTATGCCACCCAGAGTGACTGTTTTAACTTCATGGCCTCAAAGTGGCCAGCTTTTAGTGTCTTCAAAGCTTTTCGCTTATTGGTGGCTTTAATATCAGTGTCTGCTTTGGACAGGGACACCACACAGGATACTTAAACTGATGAAAAGCTGCTTTAGTAACCAGTTCTGACAGAATCTTTCATGAGAGGATGTAATTCTTGTTACCCTGTTTCAAATAGAGGAAAGGTGCAAAATGAGGGGAAGACTTCACTCAGGGTCACCCGGCAGAGCTGAAAACAGACCGAGAACTGGGCTTTGTAAAGCCAGCTTTAGGCTACACTGCTTGTCTTCAATGTGTGTTACAGGAACAGGGGGGAAGCAGAAGCCCCCCACTCCATGCCCAGCTGGTCACTACTGCCCACCAGGCACCAAGCACCCAACGCAGCACAAGTGTGCCCCGGGCACCTGGAGCAACAGGACAAGCCTGACCTCAGCGGAGGAGTGCTCCCCATGCCCTGCAGGCTGGTTTTGCTTCGGAGGAGCCCGTTCTCCTACTGGGATGTGCAGCTCAGGGCACTACTGCCCTCAGGGTAGGAGTGAAGGAGCTTTAGTGTGCTTCTGTCCTTAGAAATGTTGTTGGACTCTGATATCACACCCTGACTTTATCAGCGGATCTTCTGCACTGGGTGTTCAATGTGGAGTCGGTAACAAAACGTCCCTTCTGTCTAGTAAATAACACTGTTTGCACAGAGCACATTGGCATTGTTTTCTTTCCCTTCATTGGCAAAGGATTCAGATGCAAATATCTGCTGCAATTGTAAATGGGAAACTTCCTGCAGGGATTCGGCACACTTTGCTAAGTGGTGATTTTGTCACTGTTGTTCTCAGAGCTGCGAGCAGTGATTTTTGTATATAGAAATACATATTTACATGTAACTCATGTAAATACCAACAACGAAGAGCAGGGGGCTTATTGCCTCCTGTCTTTGAAGCTGTATTAAGAACTAAGGCTGGTCTTCTCCTCTTTCTGGCAAGGTACACAGAGGGGCACACAGTACCCCTGCCCTGCAGGAACCTATGCCACCAGGCTGGGAAATGGGAGAGTGGAAGACTGTGCTGCCTGCCCCCCAGGAGCTTTCTGCACCAGTGGGACCTCCAAGCCAGCTCTGTGCCCAGTGTAAGTGCATCCCATGTGCTGCAGTAGCTGTGCAGGTACAAAAGAAAACACTTCTACATGGCATTTCAGAACACTTGTGGGTTTAAGTAATAGCTTTCTGCACCAGCAATGTTCCTTTGACCTTGCGTGTTACTGGCTGGTCCAGGCTGGATTTTTCTGAATCAGGGAGTTTCTTGCCTCCAGAAATGGTAGATTTCCTCTATACAGATGACTGAGGATCCAGACCAGAGGTGTGCTGTCATAGAATCAGAGAACCAGGGAATGGTTTGTGTTGGAAAGGACCTTAAAGCTCAACCAGTTCCAACCCCTACCATGGGCAGGGACCTCTTCCACTGGAGCAGCTTGCTCCAAGCCCCTGTGTCCAACCTGGCCTTGAACACTGCCAGGGATGGGGCAGCCACAGCTTCTCTGGGCACCGTGTGCCAGCGCCTCAGCACCCTCACAGGGAAGAGCTTCTGCCTTATCTCCAACCTGAACTTCCCCTGTTTCAGTTTTAACCACCAACCCTTGTCCTACCATTCCAGTCCCTGATGCAGAGCCCCTCTCCAGCATCCTTGTAGCCCCCTTCAGATACTGGATCGTTTTGCTGCTGTTGTGACTCTCTCTTCTGTTGGATTTTCTGCTGCAGAGGAACCTATCGCATAGAACATGGTGCAGAAGTGGCTGCAGACTGCACCCCTTGTCCTGGAGGGTATTACTGCCCTGAGCTGGGCACTGTATCTCCTCAACCCTGTGGTGCTGGCAACTTCTCAGTAAGTAACAATAATTTTCTCCTGGCACCTGCTGAGCAGAAGGACTGAAATTTGGCAGAAAGGGAGCTTCAAGGCGAGCTTGAGGCTTTGAGTGCCTCAAAAGGAGGCACTGGAGTGAGTTCATCTCCTTGCGCGATGGCTCCAATTTGGGGAGGTCGTATCCAGTGCTCTGAAGAATACTGGCCACATGTGCTGACTCTGCAAGTAAGGAGGGAAAGTGCTAGCACAGAGAAGGAGTGTTTCTACACAGTCAGGTCTGGGTGTGCTCCAGACTTGGTGCTAAAAGTGCATACCACGTGTGCAGTGCTGCTTTTGCTGTTATTCCCACTCCAGAGGCTAGGACCAGCAACCTGAGTACATCTGTCCTGTAGCTGAGCAGGGACTTTGGGTTTTCATGGCATATTTGACCCTGGCAGAAAGGAGAGTTGGTTCCTGCTCCAAAGGATGCATTTGATTGCAGTGGAGTCAAGCCGTCAGTTAAACAGCAAGATGGAGCCACAGCAGAGAGTAGCAATGGCCCAATTGTTCTCACAGGCAGGTGCTGAGGCCTGTTTCTGAGTTGTCTACCCCCAAAACGGCATCAATAATCGTGCTAATTGCCATGTTTCCCCATTGATGGGAAATGGGCTCTTCACTTCTGTCAAGAGACCCCAGTATCTTCCTCCAGGCCAGTTTTCCATCACTGCACAGTTTTGGTAGTTACCACTGGAACCCTTACTAAGGTCAGAGAGGAGGGAAATGGTGAATGGAGATGTATGTACAGCAAAGAGATTCCTTCTTGTTTGTGCCTTGGAGTTCCGTGTAACAAAGAAAGAGGAGGGGACGTGCCTGTGTTCTCTGCTCCTGCTGGCAAAGGGTGTTGGACTGTTCTGAGGATCAGAACCTTTTCCATGGATAATCCACAGAACCTGCTTCTTATTTGTGAAGCCCAGGTTTCCTTGCCTGCAGGGTGAATACACTGAATTGCAAGCTGCCTGCTGCTCACAGGTTAGCTTAGGTGGGAATTCTTTTTGTCTCTGGGAGCATTACCAATTGTGCAAGGATTCTTTTGCCCTTGAGAAGTAGAACCCCGTGCTTTCCCTGTTGTAGGACCAAGGTTCAGCCTCCTGCTTCCCATGCCTGGTGGGACATTACTGTGCTGGAGAGCACACCAGCTGGGAGGTGATGCTCCTAGCCATGTGCCCAGCGGGTCTCCTGTGCCCACAAGGACAGGCTGCTGTTCCAGACACCAGTGCAAATGCCTGCCCAAGAGGATACTACTGTCCCCAGGGAGACACTGTGAGTGAGTCTGCTTTGGTCCTTGGGATTGGGATTGAGTTGGCTGTGCAGTTACAGTCTGCACTGGGCTTTGTCTTGCTATAGGAGCCTTTCCCAGTAGTCTCTGAACTGGTTTCTGTACTCTTTTGGGGTTCACAGATCCTAGCAATATTTGCCCTCCATACAACTGTTGCTAATACTGGGGTAATGTTTTCTGTGCACAGTCCAGAGCATTGGATCCCCATTCCATTGTACCATCTTTTCAGCATTCACCCCAGATTCCTGGTGCCTCTTGTCAGTGTTTGTTCCCAGTCATATTAGTATGGTAAAGGTCCATTTTTCTATATCATTTCAAGGGTAAGCCTTGTCCCAATGGGACCTATGGTGAGCAGATGGGTCTAAGCAGTGTTGCCGAATGCTTGCCCTGTCCCATGGGGAAGTACTGCTACAGAGATGGGATTGAGCCTCCAGGAATTCCCAATCCTGTAAGTAGAGCTCAGGTCCTCCTGATTTTTTATTTCTCCAAAGGCTACAACTGTAAATGGAGTGAGCTTAATGCATGTTTTTTGTCTTTACTTAACCTTCTGCCTGTCAAAGCAGGCTATGAAAGAGGGGACAGAGATCAGGAGCTGGTGCTGCTCTGTATCTAATGAGTTTGGGGATCTTTCAGGGTGATTGTTCTGTCTCTAGAAAGAGTGAACTCTTCCAATATTAATAGCTGTTAAAAAAAGAATCCTCTTCTCTTCCACATGGGTGAATCTGTGCTTTCATTTAGGAGCAAGAGGATAACTCTTATCCCAGTTCCAGCCCTTTTTCCAAGTGTGGAAGAAGAGCATCTTCCCCACAGCTGTATAGAGAACATGTAGGGCCTATCTCAATGACAAGACTTTACCTTCCAAACCCCTCACCTAGAATAATGATCCTACATGGTCAGAGTTCTACTGATAAGACTGTGAATTCCCTCCCTCCCCTTCTTTTCTGCCCCGTTTTCCTGCATTAAAAGATGCCAGGTTATTCAAATTATAGATTAAGCTTGGTTCTTTTGGAGTTGAATCTTAAGAGGTTCCTCTTCCCTACTCAGAAGAAGACAACAAAACCATGCCTGAGTGTGTATTCTGCTTTCCAGACAGGGGATTGCCCACCTGGCTATCACTGCCCTCCGGGGACTGGGTTCCCTTTCTCCTTCCCCTGTATGCCAGGCTTCTTCTGGGATAATTCCAGCACAGAGGGTGAAGACCCTTGCACACCGTGTCCACCTGGGTACTACTGTGACTCTCCTGCCATGCCAGAGCCCAAAGCTTGCCCAGCAGTGAGTTGTTCTTTCTTAGTTACCTCGTGGAAGAAACTGGTATGTGGGGGTCTAATAGAAGAGCTTGAAGTGCTGTATTAAGCTGACTTTGGTTTGCAGGGCTTTTACTGTGTGGAAGGCAGCTCTAAACCTGAAGCCTGCCCTGAGGGGACATACAGTGGCAAGAAGGGGCTATCTGGACCCTCGAAGTGCAGTCCGTGTACCCGTGGGTTCTACTGTGCTGCTCCAGGGCAGACTGGGCCAAGTGGTCCCTGTGAGGCTGGATTCTACTGCCAGGGCAGAGCCCTCACTCCAGTAAGTCTCGTGGCAAGTTCTTCTCCTCCTTATCTAATTGTGCTCCAATGTGGTGGCTCTTTCCCCACTGTGGTGCTTTTTATTAGCTCGGTGACTTCAAGAGTCACAATTCTGCGCTGCTCACATAGAGTCATAGAATCAACGAGGTTGGAAAAGACCTTCAAGATCAAGTCCCCAGGTTGATGGCATGAGGACCACTTGCTGCCCTCAAAGGGAGTGCAGCCACGTCATATCTGTCCCTCTCAACACCAACATCCCCTTAACTAAAACCAGAAGTTGAGTGGATGTGAATTCCAGTGGGATGCTGCTGTGAAAACATCCGTTTATTCATGTTGTGTTTACTGCATTTCCCCTAAGTTAGGTATTGTCTGTGCTCTGCACAACAGAAGATGTCTCTGTTTTCCTGTCTTGCCTTGGGCCCAAAGCAGGATGATGCTGTAAACACCTGAACCCTGGTTACTCCTTCTTTTGAATGATGCCTTTTCCAATTCCAGCTGCCCACAGATGGTGTGACAGGAGACGTGTGTCCTGCTGGGGCTTACTGCCCACCTGGCTGTGCCTCACCCATCCCCTGTCCTGCAGGCACTTACAGCAACCTCAGTGGGTTGAGGAGCCTCCAGGAGTGCTTGGACTGCCCCCCTGGGTGAGTGTCCTCTTCAGAGAACATGGCTCAGCCCTGTCCCATTGCAAAGGGATTGTTCAGCCTTCAGCTTAGTTGCCCCAACAGCCCACCCTTACCTTGCAGAGCAAGGCTCCTATCAGTGGTGCGGCATGGTTTCACCCAGCAGCTCCTGCCTAAACATCCTCCCTGATACTGATGTTACGTTAGCAGACAGTGTAATTCACCACCCTGTTGCATTCCTTTTAACGGCACCAAAATGACATCACTGATTTGGAAGGCAAAGGAATGGATTGTGGTGGCTTTCACTTCCCCGTGAGCGTGCTTTGAGTACGTGCAGCACAAGGCCAGTGAGGGACGGTGACTTTCAGGTGCTGTAGGACTCCATGAGGTGCAGTCCAGAGCTCTGGGAGAATCCAAATTCAAAGAGCTTATCCCTCTATTTTTTTACTTCACTCTGTTTTCCCAGGAGAGGTAGGCAGGAAAACCGAGCAGGAGACTGCTCTGGAATTCCTGTTCTGTGCAGAAGCTGGAGGGAATGCCGTCAGAGTGGCTTTCTTAAGTATTTTTAGCCCAGAGCTGCAGAGCAGGTTTGAAGAAAACCAACACTTGGGTGTTTGTAAGGCCTTTAGTCAGAAGTAGATGCAGATGCTGCTCCCTGCTTGTAGAGGGGAGGATTCTTCCCAGGGTACAGCTACTGAATCTGAGAGGTTATGGTCCTTAAAACACATGTGTGAGAAGTGACACGTATCCTCTGTAACTCCCTTTCAAGAAACAGGTCTCCAAGATTCCAGATAGACAGCAGGGATATTTTTGTACTGAGACTGTATTATGCAGTGACAAAAGGAACTATTGTACCCACGGTGTCTGTTTTTCCCCACATAGCCTGTATTGTGATGGGACAAACAATCAAGCTCCCTCAGGACCCTGTGAAGCTGGCTACTTTTGCACAGGAGGTGCCAAAAGTGCTCTTCAGCAAGTGGTGATGGAAGGGCATTATTCCTTACCAGGAGCTTTCAAGCCAGAACCATGTCCTCTTGGCAGCTTCCAGCCTGTAAGTCTGTTAGTATACCCTGTGTAATGTACTTGGGGGGGGGGGGGGGGCATCAGAACCCTTGGAAACTGTCCAGTGTTGGAACAGAAACGCAGGAAGTGGTTGTAAGTGGTCACCTTAAGAAAAGCGGACCTGGGTTTTCTCCTGCATTGGGTAATCACCACCTCCTTTGCTTTTACCCTACAACAGAAGAGCTCTGTGCTTGCCACTGCTTTAGTGGTGGAAGGTGCTCTTCAGATCCCACAGGTCTGTTGCATTGGGACTGACTGCAGTTCATTTGCTTCAGGGTGCTCATTCCGTAGTAGGGAGCTGGGAGAGTGTGCAAAGTTCACTGATTCATGGGGCAAGCAGCAATACCCCACATCTGCCAAGTGCTTTCTGTGTTCCCCCTTTAGGCTCGTGCTCAGGCTCTTTGTCGGGACTGTCCAGAGGGTACATTCTGCAGTGAGGCAGGCCTGGCTGCACCCCAGGATTGTCCCAAAGGGCATTTTTGCTTGGCTGGCAGTTCCTTCCCTCTCCCATGCCCAGTGGTAAGAGTCGAATGTGAACTTGGGTCTCAAGCAGTGATTTTCTGCAGGCTCCCAGCCCCTTGGCAGAGGACATTCACTGGTTCTCTCTGTGCAGGGAACCTACACTGATGTAGCCAGGGCAGGTTCTTGCAAGCCCTGCCCAGCAGGCATGTACTGCAGCAGGGCTGCTCTGACTGAGCCAGAAGGACATTGTCAGCCAGGGTATTACTGCCTTCAAGGTTCCAGCACCTCCACACCCGTGAGTACTGAATATCTCACATTGCATCACGCCTTTTGGCACTACAAAACCTTTTGTAAACCACATTAAGGTAATTTTCCTCGCTTCAGATGGGGCTTCCAGTTGGAGATCTCTGCCCACAAGGACATTATTGCCCTGCTGGCACAACCCACCCAAAAGAGATGCCATGTCCTGCTGGCACCTGGAATGCACAGAGAGGAGCCCAGGATGCCACTTGGTGCCTGCCTTGTGCTCCTGGGTTTTTCTGCAACATGTCTGGGCAGGCTGCTCCTGAGGGACTTTGTGCACGAGGTGAGACAAAGCCAGACAAAGCTCCTTCAGCTTCTTAAAAACTCCCTTGGCTCTGGATCAGAGACAGGACTCAAATGTCTTCTGCTTTAAGGCTATTACTGCGCAGGAAGGACAAAGACCGCAAAGCCAGAGGATGGGATCACTGGAGATCTCTGTCCTCGAGGACATTTCTGCCCTGCAGGCTCAGCAGCCCCTTCTCCCTGCCCCAGTGGAGAATACAGCAATGCAACAGGTCAGGAACTGGAGCTTTGCAACTTGTCTGTGACCTGGGGGATGTAGAAAACACCAATTGTGTTACTTGTCTGCGTCCAAGAGTGTCCTGAGAGCTCCTGGCCATTATCAGCATTCAATGGGGGGGAGTAAAGAAAGGGGTCGGGGGGGTGTTGTTTTTTCCCTTGTGTCACACGGGGAATGTATTTCACCCTGGCAGACAGCTCATGGGTGAGGATTGGAGCAGTAGGTGCACAGACAGCTGGTAAGCGGTTCACTGCCTTTCCTTGCTGTTCTGCCTGCGGTGAGGTGTGGAGGTTACTGGCACTCTGGGGCTGGTGGAGTTAAGAAGCTGAATCAAACTCTCCTGGTTTGTGTTGGAAGGGCAGTTATAGCAGGAGGGCTTACGGAATAACTTCGTTTCCATTCCTGCTTCCTAAGGCAGAGCGAAGCTGTGTACGTGGTGTTTTCCTTCCACTTCATTACATGGTTCATTTTAATTCCTCTCCTTCCTTCACAGGTCAAGACAGATGCTTCCCTTGCCCTGCTGGGTTCCACTGCTCAAGTGGACTGCGCCGTCGCTGTCCTCCTGGCTTCTATTGCCCTCAGAACACTGGAATCAGCTTTTATCCCTGTCCCCCTGGGACCTACAACCCCTCCTATGGCCTCAGCCAGGCTGAGAGGTGTCAGCACTGCCCTGCAGGTGAGGAGATGGCTCTGTCAGTGTAGAGCAGTGTCTAAGAGGGTGATATCTCTGAATATCCCTTTTCCTAAGCCACTGATGCATGTTTCAGCTCTAGGGAATACAGACATCAAAGTACACAGTCCAGGAGGTTCCTTATCCCACTGACAGTGTCCCCAGTGAGCCACAGGTTTCCCTGAGGCCCTGCAGAAGGTTGGGTTACACTCAGGGTTTCCCAGAGGAGCATGAGCTGGGCTGGGATGTGGTTCTGTCCCTGTTGTGCTGCTGCTGAGGGACTGGCTCTCCCAGTCTTCCCTTTTGCCTCCCGATGCGTGTGTGCAGCACAGCAGCTCTCCTGGCTGTTCTCCCTGTTTACCCATACTTGATGCTATTTTCCCTCTGTGGTCTTCTAGGGATGTTCTGTGGAGAATGGGGATTATCCTCTCCAAGTGGTCCCTGTTGGCCAGGATTCTTCTGCACAGCAGGTACTGAATTTAGAGCTCACAGGGCAAAAAAGAGAAGCGAAAAGGAATTCCCTGTAGGAATCAGGTTTTGTACATTCTCTGTACAATCTTTCCCATGTTTTTATTACAGACAGTGCCAGGGTGGTCCTGAGGAATAAAGCAATGTGATAAGGTTATCATCAGTCCCATCATAAGTTTCTCAATTTAGATACCTGCTTTCTGAGCCTACTAGAAGGACTTGGGGAGGAAAACTACAAGAAGCAGACTCAAGAAAGTCATTACCATAGGGATTTGACTGTTGTGAGCAAGTTTCCTGGCAGCTTGCAGTTGGTGTTTGCATAGGATAAGGGCTTGGATTTGTAGGGACAAAGGACTACAGACAGGAAGATGGTGGCAACGTCATTCAGTCCCCCTGCACTATATTCAGCAGCACTGAATGTTCTCTGTGCTGCATGCTGCAACCACGCTGCTGAGGATTAGTGCTTGATACCTCTCATGGAACCACGGGTCCTGAGTTTGGGTGATTTCATAGGGATCCTGACATTTACTTTACTTCTAAGTTCTTATGTGCTTGGAATTATTAAGAGAAGTCCGAGATGAGAGCTGAAAACCACACAAATACAAATTTCCTAGAGGCCTTGCTCTCTGGTTGTGGCTGGTTTGGGCAGCTCACCCCTTCTTTGGGATCTCTTTCAGGTCAAGCGCAGAAGGCAGTCAGCTCTGCTGTGATCAGCATTCAGATCCATGCTTTGCAATGTGGATGGCAGGCTCCATAGATGCTCTCACTATTCCCATATAACTTAAATAGCTTCTGTACATACTGGCCCTTCAACAAACAGATGACTCTCAGTTTAGCATGGAAGGTGGACATTTGGGGTCACTTTTAGTCCTGGTTGCAGCAGTGGGAACTCAGATGAGTTTATTCTCTTCTGAGTATGTTTTCCTGGCTATACACTGGAGAGTGATGATACATGCTAGGGAGGTATTTTGTGAGCTATAGTTAAATCTGTATAGGGGTTTAAGTGCAATTGTATCATGTGTGGTCACTGTCTCCTTCTCCCTGACATCTCAGCTTTTAGAGGAGTAGGTCTGTGGTGGACTAAGCCATCCAAATGGTTCTGTTCCCCCTGGTACTTGCTGTTAGTTATTCCATTCCACTATAGATTGGCCTAAGTAACAATCACCAGCTGCTCTCTTCTGTCAGCTGTGGAAATGTTTCTTTAGGCAGGAACAGTCACCCGTGTCATTCAGGACACCTTTGGTTTACCTTCCTCATGTAGGAGCAAGTGTCCCAAACCCTAATGGAGCCACAAACACGAGCACTGGTGGTCCATGCCCCCCTGGCCACTTCTGCCCAGCTGGCACAAGCATCCCCCAGCAATGCCCTGTGGGCACTTACTCTGACAGGTAAGTAGTCTTCTTGGTTCTGCTGGTGCTCATTGGTGTTATCCTTTTCCTTTTGGTTTCTCCCTTAGTCCTTTAAGTAGCAAAGTACAACTCAGCAAGGCTCATTAGACACATGGCATTGATCACAAAAGCCTCCTGGGTGCTTTCACTTGTCCAGAGCTGTAGGTATCAGTGGTCTACTGCTGAACTTGTGCTCCTGCCAACAGAAAGCCTGCTTGTGTCCCTCACCAGGCTCTACAACAGGCAGGACTCCAGCTGCACAGTGTGTCCATCTGGCTATTACTGCAGCTCTGCTGGCCTCACAGCACCCTCAGGACCCTGCTCAGCTGGCTACTACTGCTCGAGTGGAGCTTCCTCACCATCACCACATGGTGAGCTGCCCTGGGTGAACGAACGCCGGTGTCTTCATTTGTCTGTGTGCAATGCTGAGGGGGTTTGGCCCCAGGCAGTTCCTGTTGTGCCTGTAATGGACGTAGCCTGGTTGCTCCTGGTCATTTTATTGTGTCTCAGAAATAAGAATTTCCAGGGAAGAGTTACAAATCTTTCATAGCGAATTCCATGTTCTCCAGAATTCTTGGTGGATGCGAAGCAGAGCATTTAGAAGGCTGATCTGTTCAGTATGATTTGTTGTGGCTTTGCCTGTGAAGCAAGGAGAGAAGAGGCACGGTAACACAGCATCAGAGAGTTCCAAAGTGGTCATTCTAGTTACTGTGTTGATCTGTCTTCTGGGATCCCAGAGAAGACAACATCTTTCTTGCTGGACCTTTGTTAGCATTGTCCCTCCCTCAGCAGCTCCCTTTGTGGGCCATGTTTTTGTGCTTTCTGTGCTCTAGGTATGTGGGAGAAAGGAGGTCCTTGTCCTGTGAGCCACTTCTGCCCAGAAGGAAGCAGCTTTCCCTTGCCCTGCCTTGCAGGGACTTACAACAACCTCACCAGACAAGCTGCATGCTTCCCTTGTGCTGCAGGCTACTACTGCCCAGAAAACTCCACCAGCTACAGTATGAACCCTTGCCCAGCTGGCTTTTACTGCCCCAAAGGTGAGATGGGTCCTGGGGGACAAGGCAATCCATGGGCCAAGAAATTGTCTCTGTGGACCAAAGGTTTAAGTGTCAGTCTGGTTCTTCACAGGAAGAAACCCCAACCCTGGAAACCACAGCTATGGCTGTTGTTTGAGCCTTAAAGGCAAACCAAACAGCACTGTCTGCCTGGCCGTGAAGGGCAAGCTGTGCACTGTGAAGGTCAGCAGTGACATAAATGGGCAAAGATGACCCCGAACCATAGGATGCTACATGAAGTGATACAGCAGGATTGGTAGCCAAGGTAGTATTTATAGTCCATGAAAGCCATTTGCTCTTTTTATTCCAAAGGAACCAGGTTTGCTACTGAGTTCCCCTGTCCGCGGGGCTACTATAACCCTGATCCCATGACACAGAGCTTGGATAGCTGCTTGCCCTGTCCTCCTGGGCACTACTGTGGGAAGGAGAACTTGACAGCTGCCTCAGGCATGTGTGATGCAGGTGAGACTGGATCTCTGTGGCTTTTGCATTGCCCAGCACTTGGGGACAGCATAGTTTTGGGAGGCTGATGCTTGTGTCCTGCAGCAAAACCATCCAGGATGGGTTATTCATGAGAATTCCTGGGGCTCTGTCATTGCTAGAGCTTCTCAGTGGCGTTTTTTGTTCTCAGGTTGGTTTTGCATCTCAGCTGCTTGGACCTCACGGCCTTTTGATCTGGATAACTACACCAATACCAACTGCCTCTGCCCAGCCACCGCCACTGGAGGGAAGTGCACAGCTGGTTTCTATTGCCCCAAAGGAAGCCCAGAGCCACTTCCTTGTCCTCCAGGGTTTTACTGCAATGCCTCAGGTCTGTGTGTTTGCAAAGCAGGAGTGATCTGGTTTGAGGGGTGTTAAAATGAAGGCATTGTGTGGGCAGGGAAATGTTTGTTATTTCAGAACTCACTAGAGGACCCTAAAGCTAGTTTTGTTTCTGGATGATAAACCTGGTTTTCCCAGAATTTGCTGTGTGTCTTCAAGTGAGTCACTGCCTCCATGGCCATCTTCGAGGACCGATGGGAACACAGGTGGCTATAGGTTCATAGACATGGAGTATCAGGGTCTCCTGACAAAATTCCCTGTATTCTGTGTGCCTGCAGATGCTGGGATACAGACAAAATGCTGCTTCATTTTCTCCTGCTCCTTTTCCTTCCTTTCAGTATTCCTTCCATGTGTTAAACAGGAGCTGATTTTATCCTGATGTTTCTGTAGAGCTGTGATGGTGCTTGTGAGATGCCTTTGGTGTCTTCCAGAGGGATGCTTCGAGTGGGTGTTTTTCCTGCTTTCCTTCCTTTATCTAAGTGCTCTGAGTGCCATTATCCCCTCTGTCTTCCAGGTCTGTCTGTGCCCAGTGGGGAATGTACTGCTGGTTTTTACTGTAAAGCTGGAGCAACAATCCCTAACCCAACAGATGGTGTGACTGGGAATATCTGCCCTGGGGGCACTTACTGCAGTAGGTATCCGGCAGGAGTAAAAATTTCATGTCACTTAATGTCTGAAATACAGAAAATTTCATGTCATGCAATATCTGAAATCACTGGGGCTGATTTTGGAAGTGTGGTGGCCAACTTGCTACTGCCTAAAGACTCTGATTCTTCCCCTAGTTTCCCCCCTGGCCTGTTCTTTGAAAGTGGGGAGTGATAGATTTGTCTCAGCACCCAAACTCCTCCATCTTTGGATTGTGAACAGCTGCACCTCATTTTCCCTTGTTAAATGAAGCTCCTAATGTCAGACCTCTCCCACGCAGCACTGTTTGAGCTCTGCATGGCTTCCCTGACCCTGTTTCCATGCTGCTGCACGTTCATCCAAGCCCTGAACGCAGCAACGACCTCCTTCATCTTTCACTGCTCATTTCTCTCTGTCTTGCTTCTGTCCTCGCAGCTGCAGCATCAGCAGTACCCAAGCTCTGCCCTGCTGGCACCTTTTCCAGCCTCCAGGGGAGGAGAATGCTTTCGGAGTGCCAGCCTTGCCCCTCTGGCTTCTATTGTGAGGAACCTGGCCTCACTGCTCCGACCGGAGAGTGCTGGGAAGGTAAGTCATGGATAAACAGACCGAGCCTCTGGGCACATGCTCAAAGGAAGGTATGTTTGTGTGTATTGGACAGCTTCAAATGAATGTGTGAGCCAGTGGTTTAGAGAGGAAAAGTCAAAGGTGGAAAAGCCATTCCCCTGCTGGGAGATCTGCCAGGAGTCGAGAAGGTGCTGTAGGCTGTGCAGGCACCCCTGTTTTCACAGTCTCCAATTGGAATTCCATGCATCATACAAGAGATGGCTGCTTACTGCTGACTCCTGAGCCTTCCTATGGGTGCAAGTTGAGAGTCTCGCTGCCTGTCTTGGTGGTTTCCCTCTCCTGACTTGGAGAAGAGCAAGTTCTGGCTTTGTGTGAAAAGGCCACTAGAGGTTAAAGCAATTCAGACATGTGTGCCTGGGAGAACCTGCTCTCTCCTGATGAGCAGCACCTCAATAGCTACTATCTCCTAGTAACTATCTCCTAATGTAGCTTTCTTTTCCCCTGCAGGCTATTACTGTAACAACCAGCAGGGGCCAGTTACTGATTTTACCCTTTACCCATGCCCACGAGGGTTTTACTGCCCAGCAGGAACAAACAGCAGCACTCAGTACAGCTGCCCTGCAGGAACCTTTGGACCAAGGCAAAAACTGAAAGCAATCACAGAATGCCAAAGGTGCCCACCAGGAAAATACTGTGAATTCTCTGGGCTTGCTGCCCCAACAGGTATATTGCTGCTCTCCTGAGTGTATTCAGTGGTGTTAGAGTCATGGCAGGGGCTGATGGACTGGTGTTAGGACTTTAGGATGCTGATCTAGGTGAACTATCCCATTCGCTTATCAAGAACTTCTTGATATCTTTTAATAGATTCATGCATTTCGTATCAGTTACTCTGTTTTCTAGGAGATTGTGCTGAGGGGTTTTGGTGCAAAAGTGGTGCCCGAGTAAGAACCCCCCAAGATGGAGAATCAGGACTTCCTTGTCCTCCTGGTCATTATTGCCCTGAAGGTAAGAGCGCTTTGCTAAAGCAGAGCTGTTGATCAGTCACAGAAGGCATGAGGTGGTGTTTCCTCACTCCAGCACAATGTATTTTGCCAGGTGCCCCGCTTCCAGTGCAGTGCCCTCCTGGCACATGGGCTGGTGGTGAAGGCAGCAGGAGCTTGCAGGAGTGCCAGCCTTGCCCTGGGGGATATTACTGCAATAGCTCAGGGCAGAGAGCCCCCTCAGGACCCTGCAGCCCAGGGTGAGTAGAAGAGCACCCACATTTACATGCTGTGTTGCAAGAGAGGAGGTCTACAAGGGCTCTTCTTAGCCTTGTGGAAATGAAGGATGTTTTCTTGGCTGCAGGTACTACTGCATCTCTGGGGCCCAGTCCTCAGCTCCCACTGATGGCCTCTCAGGAGCTCCGTGTCCAGGCAGTCACTTCTGTCCTCTCGGATCCAGCAGTCCAGCTCCATGCCCCCCTGGCTCCTACATGCCACACACCCATGGAGAGGAGTGCCGTGCTTGCCCGGAGGGGGAACACTGTGTCTCTGGAGAGAAGCCACAGCCCTGTCCCCAGGGTGAGTTAATGTCCTGCTTAAATGTCTGAGTCGTCTTTGACGTTCCAAAGGCTGCTGATTCTGGTCTGTTCTTTCTTTTCCAGGGTATTTCTGTCCCAAGGGCACAGCTCTTCCTTTTGCTTGTCCAGCAGGGTCCTATAACCCTTCACCAAGGCAAGGCAGCTGCCTCCCCTGTCCCAAAGGGTAAGGGTGAGACACTGAGTCCCCTACATGTGTGAGTCCCATACTCACACATTTTAGGTGTGAGTAAGGGACTATTAGGCATAATTGTTTATCCAGTCATCGTGGAGAGGAGTGTGGTGGGAAAATGAGTTCTTTTACCACTGAAAAGCACTTGTCTGTGAGGAAGCAGAGCTCTGTTTAACCACGCTACAGCTGAGTGTGGGAGCAGGCAAAGTCCTAAATCCAGGTACAACTACACTGGAATTTAGATCAGAAAGTTATTTGGAGCAAGGAAACCACTAGCACCATAAACCTTTCCCATGTCTAAAGGAAGAGACTGTTCCCTTGGCAACAAGCCTGCTGAAGGGGAAGAGGATCTTGGGTATCACCTGATGCTGAGTCTGGCTTTTTCCTGTGGGGATTCATCTCCAATTACTGCCTGGATTTGACCTTGATTAACTTTTACAAGTTGATGAATCGCAGCCTGGATGTGTTGTGACTCAAGTTAAGGAAATTATGTCTCTGTGGCTTTTGCAATTATGCCATCAATTTGGCAGAGGAGGAAACAACTCAAAATGTAGTAAAATATGCATAAGTAGGTCTCTTGTGGTCAATACACCACATTAGACTGGCTGGTCCCACCACTAAGTTGTTATTCAGGTATTTGTGGATGGAATGTTGCTAGAAAATGTCTTATTTCTTCTCTTTTTTTAATGTCTCTTTGCACTAGGTTCTTCTGCCCCCCAAATTCCTCTTCCTTTATGGAGAATGAATGTCCAGCTGGCCACTACTGCCCTCCAAGTACTGCTTCTGCCACTCAGTTCCCATGTCCAAAAGGGACTTACAACCCCCAGACTGGAAGCAGCCTGAAGGCTCACTGCACCCCCTGTGACCCAGGCAAGCAGCAAATAAGGACATCTCAATATGACAGGAGAATGCATGAAAATTGGGAGTGTTCTTGAGCTTCAGGGGTGACTTGTGTAGCTTCCTCTCTGGAGTACCTGGGGTGTTTTCCTGCCCCTACTAACGGCATTGCATTGCTTTCTCAGGGCACTACTGTGCACTTGTGGGGCAGTCCCATGTTACAGGACCTTGTCTGGCTGGGTTCTACTGCAGAGGAGGTGTTTCTGTTCCAGCACCTACAGATGGTCTTCTGGGGAACACATGCCCAAAGGGGACTTACTGTCCTATGGGCTCTGCCTTTCCACAGCCATGTCCTCCTGGTTATTACAGCAACTCAACTGGGAATACTAGGATCAAGGACTGTCTCCTGTGTGATGCAGGTACAATATCAAAAGAAAGCATGAATGAGATTCTAGCCAAGCACCAGTATTTCCAGGGCTCCTGAGACACTTTGTGGTTCCAGAGCAAGCAATCATGAACAACTGCTTTCATGGAGAGATACAGGGTAGAGCATAAAGGGACTGCATCTGCACTGTGAGCTTCCCTTTCTCCACCTTTTCTCTATGTGGTTTTGTACTAGGAGATCCTAAAGTCACAGAATCACAGAATGGTTTGGGTTGGAAAGGACCTGAAGATCATCCAGTTCCAGCCCCTTGTAGATGATACAAGGAGTGCTGTTTGTTCAGGCATGTAAGCTCTGTACTTGCAGCTATTCCCAGTGACAGCATCTCCAGGAGAATAGATGTTGGTGCTATCAAACATGATGCTTCAGTGATTATTTCCTCATTGCACACTTGCTGTTTGTCTGTCTCATGCGACCAGTATCATTATGGTCCTTTTGTGGTTCCTCTTCATTTCAGGGTATTTCTGTGATGGGACTGGACTTGTTTCTCCAACTGGATTATGTGAGGCTGGGTTTTACTGCAGTGGAGGAGCCATTTCTGCTAAACCTCCCAGGGTAAGCTGTGCTTGTACTGTGAATAGTGTAAAATGTATCTGTGGAACTGAAGACCATAAAGTCACCTTAGTTCTTCTGCCCCTGATTGAACTGTCCCTTAACTACATTATGTTGTGTATTGGGTGCATCGGTGCATCTGGTTTCTTGATAGCAAAAGGGGCAGTTGGCCTTCTTTCAGCTTTTACATCTAAAAGCTGACCAAAAAGAACTCTCTATTTGCATACTGATTCTGCAAAGCAGAGTGAAATGCTGTATCAGATTAGAATTCCAGAAGTTAGGAGTGCAGGAGTTTGATGAGAACATTGCATCTGTCAGCCCCCCTCCTAGGCAAAATACAGTGAGAATCTTTAAAGGTGATAACTCAGCAAACACTAGGTTATGCCTCAGCTTTCTGCAGACTATGAATGGTGAAAGGGTGAGGCCACCTTCCAAATGGCCATCCCAGCAAGTTATGGGCACAATTCTGATCCCTTCTTTTGGGAAAGGAATAGGCGTGCAGCCTGAGGGATGAGCACAGGATTTCACACAACACATCTGGTTCTCATCGGCATGAGAGCTTGACCCAAATCACTTTGCAAGGGCCACCCCTGAGTTGGTAGCCTTGTAACTGGGGTGTTCTTCTTGCAAGACAACGGTCAGAGGAGGACCCTGTCCACCGGGACATTACTGTGAGGTGGGGAGCAGCAGAGCCCAGCCGTGCCCTGCGGGGAGTTACAGCCCATCCTGGAGCATGGCACAGTGTTTGGAGTGCCCAGAAGGCTTTTACTGCACGGCTGCTTCCGCAAACTACACCGACTGTCCTGCAGGTGGGTCTGGTCGTTCTGCCCACTCATCCCGGCACAGTTTGGGATTGGGTAATCTGAGATTAGCAGATGCCCCGGCAGCTGTTTGGAGTGGATTTGCCCTTGGACTTGGTTGCATGATGCAGCAGATGGACAGGTCAATGTCTTTGGTCAAAGCACTTAAGCTCTTTTGAGATTCGGCTCCTGTCTGAATGAGGAAAATGGTAAATAGAGCATCAGCTTTGACCTTTATCGTACACTTTGAGACCTTCTCACTAAAGCTGAGAAGCTTGGGATCAGTCCTTCTCAGATGAAGAGAATGCTGTGTCTAGGTTGGTGATTCTCCAGCACGTGTTAACCTTTGTGAAACCTCTCTCTTCTTTCCTAGGTCACTATTGCCCCAGGAATACAGAATTTGCCACTCAGTATCCCTGTCCCCCTGGAACCTACAGCGAAGCTTTAAATATCTGGGATACTTCCAAGTGCCAGCTGTGTCCTCCCGGAAGGGTCTGTTCCAAGCCAGGCCTGACAAGACCAGATGGACTGTGCATGCCTGGATGGTTTTGTCCACCTGGATCCACATCAAGCAAACCAGTGTTTCTTGGCAATCACTCTGGTACAAAGGGGAATGGTAGAGCATGATGGCTGTTGTTATTGAGAAGGTGGCATTACAGAGTCACCTGTAGGGTCCAGGCAGTTCAGGGTGGGTTACTTTCCTGTTTCTTTCCTTCCTTCAGCACTCTAGTTCTGTTTTCCTGAGCTGTTTAAGTACTCTCAATTCTTCTGTTTCAACTCAGTCTATGTCTTTTCCATTAGCAGGTATGGCAGCTCCAGCTTCTGGATCTCTTGGCTTGTGCCAAGCAGGAACCTTTTGTCCTGCTGGGTCCTTTCTTCCTCTTCCCTGCACCCCAGGTAGGAGAAGACTGCTTGCTTCCTGCAGAAATGGGGTTTTGCCCATGTGTGCTGCTCTCCCTTTTGCCAAGAGCAGTAGGCAATTCCAGTCTTGTGCTGGGACTGGTTCTGAGCACTCTTAGATGGCAGCCTTGCTTCTACCCCTGCATCAGGTTCATACTGTGCAACAGCAGAGCTCTCAGCTCCATCAGGTCCCTGTGAGGCTGGCTTCTACTGCACAGGGGGCTCAACGCTCCCAAACCCCATGGATGGAGCAGGAGGGAACATTTGTCCTCGAGGCCACTTCTGTCCTGCAGGGAGTTCTTCTCCATCTCCATGTCCTCCAGGTAGGTTTGATGGCAGCTGCTGCATTCAACCATTTCTCTTCCCAGTGCACTGCTGAGCCTGAGGCTGTACCATTGTCCTGCTGCCCCTTTATTTCCCCAAGGGACAGCTGCTATCAGCACAAAGCTCATCCTCTAATCCAGTGCTGTTGTATTGGGAACAGCAGTCCTAGATGTGTCCTCAGAGAGTAGCTGCAAAACTGCCTCAGAAGCCTCAGCTTGTGGCCTACATGATGCTGAAGGAGAGGTCACACAGCCCAGCACACCACTGCCACCCTCCCTGCACATCAAGAGCTGTCCTTTACCGTCACTCTTCATGAGACAGATGGTTAAGTTGAAGGAGAAAGACTGTGGAATGTTTGTTTCTTTCCTGTTACATTAAACAAGTGGTTGCACTGCTCAGTCCAGACCAGAAATAAAGAGGAATTCAGCGCAGCCAGCACTCAGGACCAACCTGTCATCTACTCTCCAAGGGGACTCTACTCCCTTTGGATTCCTTTCTTGCCAGCATCCTCTTGGCATCTTCTGCAGGAGGTTTCTGGGGCTGGTGTAGTTAGTTACTGTGTGAGCAGCTCCCGCTCTTTTCCTTTAGTCTAGGATGACAAGAGGATGTGCTTTTGATGGCTTTTTCTTTCCAGGCTCCTTTTTGGCTCATGATGGGGGCCAGTCAGCACAGGATTGCCAGGCCTGCTCCCCAGGGTGGTTCTGCTCTCAGCATGGCCAGAGATCCCCAGAGGGCTTGTGTAAAGAAGGATGGTTTTGCCCAGAGGGCTCTGTGTCAGCCCAGCATTCAGGTAGGAAATCTTTGGGTCGTTCTTTACCTACAGGAGGCACAGGGCTTAAAATCTGACCTTAGTTATGCTTTCAAGTCACGTTTAGAAATGACTAGTTCTTTAGATTAAAACGCGTTTGCAACACAGGTTTAGTGGTGTGTAAATTGTGTGTAAATGTAGTCGGAAAAATAGGGGATCTTACCAAGGCAAAACCCAAGCTGAAAACAATATCCCAAGAGAAGTTTATTCCATGGGATATTTTCACCTTTGTTAGAAAGAGAGCAAGAAGATGCATAAGCAGTTGTCTATTCTCTCTTTCATAAGAGTGATATACGCATAAGTGTAACTCAGATTCTGATGGATTAAAAACATCCATGGGGCTCTGAAGGGGAAGTTATTGAACCATGTGGCAGTGCAGAATGGCTTTATAAAGATTTTATATCCTATTAAATCTTCCAGTTCTAGGTGTGTGGTGGTGCTTCCCCTCATGGCACTATAGAGCTGTTCAGCACATAAGCAGAGCAGTGACATTACAAGTGTGTTTCTTTCTTTGTTCCTAGACTATTTGTGTCCTGTGGGTCACTATTGCCCCACTGGCAGCGCAGAGCCCATACCCTGTCCCTCTGGAAAATACCAGGATCAGGCTGGGAAAAGCCAGTGTGAAACATGCCCAGCAGGGATGTAAGTGAAGTGGATTCTCTCCTTGCTCTTGATGCTTTCCTTAGGAATTAGCATGTGCATTTCCCTCTGCCTTAGACTGCTCTGTGTGTTGCATCCTTTGATACACAGGGCTGGTTTTCTTGTTTCTGTTATCACCTTTCCCTTTATTGTGTCATTTTTCTGTACCACAGTCTGTGAACCATAGAAAACCCATCCTGGGAGCTCTGTCTGCTGGGATGGACAAAATGCTCCTGACAGGTTGCATCTTGGTTCTCCATTTACTTCCTTCCATGTAATTGACCTTCCTTTTATTGTGGAGTCTTAGACTGTCACTGTTGTGCACAAGTTTCTTGGCCTCTGGCAGGACTTCTGGCCTGAGGCAAGACTTGGGCTCTTTTGGGCAGGTTCTGTGCCCTAGAAGCCCAGCCAGGTGACCTCCAGAGCTTCCCACATGGTGTGGTCAAGGCAGTAGAATGCGCAGCAGGGTACTACTGCCTGCCAGGAACAAAAGCTGCCAATCAATACCCATGCCCAGAGGGCACCTACAGCAACCAAACTGGGCTGGAAAATGCCAGGGGATGCAAGCCTTGTCCTGGAGGCATGTTTTGTGCCAGTGCAGGTAGGAATCACCTATGGGTTACATAGAATCCTAGGCTGGTTTGTGTGGAGCAGAGCCGAAAAGTTTCTCCAGTGGGTGCTCTTCTGTATGCGGTTTATGTGACTTTGAAGTAGCATTTGCAGTGAGCTCTGGGACCCCTTGAGTAGGATTCTTTGTGATCACGTCCAAGACTTTTGCAGTCTTTTGTAAGCTGAATGAAAGAGGCAGATTGAGGTGCGTCTGGTTAAGCAAAGATGATGGAACCACAAACCAAGCAGCTTGGGTTCTAGGACTCATTAGTTTTCGGTTGCCTCTTAGTGGATAGAGCAAGCCCCCCCGTCTGTGAAGATGATCTAGAAAGCTCTTTAAGCCTTTAGCTACCTGGTAAATGAATACGAAGACCCTGGATTGAGCTTTTAAGGGGCCATCAGAGACTGCAATCATTGTGCTGACAAGGCTTGGCTGGGTTGTTTAGTCCAGAAGCTGTGATATACATCACACCACTGGCTTATGTTTTATGCTGCTTGTCTTTAGGACTCTCCTCCCCAAGTGGTCCTTGTTTGCCTGGGTATTACTGCACTTCAGAGGCTCGAGTCCCCAATCCTGCCCATGAAGAGGCAGGCAGCCTTTGCCCAGCAGGACATTACTGCCCACCAGGCAGCAGCAAGCCAGAGCCGTGTCCCGCTGGCACCTTTCTGCCTCAGGCTGGGATGGGTCATGGTAATGCCTGCGTGCCCTGCCCTGCGGGGAGGTTCTGCCAAGGAGAAGGCCTGGCCAGTGTTTCTGGTGTGTATTGCGTGCATCTGACATCTTTCTTGTCTCCCAGGATTGGCTTTCTTGATGTTCTCTCATTGCTTAAACCTAATGCAGGAGCTTTTCTCCCTTGCAGGAACATGTTACGCTGGGTATTTCTGTCACCGTGGAGCCACGCAGCCAGATCAGGAGCACTGCCCCCCTGGCTTCTACTGTCCTGAAGGCTCTGAATCCCCAGTCCCTTGCAGTCCTGGAAGCTTCAACCCGAACAGTGGGAAATGGCAGCCTGCAGCCTGTCAGCCCTGCCCAGCTGGGTACTTCTGCAGTGGTGAGTTACACAATGTGAGCCAAGATAGACACCCACTGCAGCTTTATCCTTACAAGCTCATGCTTAGCAGGTACAGGAGAAGAAACTCGGTTAGTGCCACGCATCTTCTTTGGTTAGCAGCAGTTTATGCAGGATGTACACCAATATAAACACCCCAAGTCATTTGTCTCCCAAAACTCACGTTGGGATCTCGGTAGCAGTCTCAGGTCACCCGCAACACTTCTTGCTTGTTATCACACCTTTCTCCCTTGGCTCAGCCACATCTTCTAGATGCCCATTGTGTCTTTGGCCTCAGGAAAACAAAATAGCTCAGCAAACGGGCCCTTGGTGCTCGCTAACAGCCAGGGTCTCTGCAGCTTCTCAGATGTTCTTACCATCTGGCTGTGCAAGATGTTTCTGTGCTCCCCAGCCAGCACTGCAATGTCTGTGGTCACGCTGACAGTAAGAGCTTCACCCATCACCTTCTGTGAGACAAAGAGGCTTTGACTTTCTCAGGTGAGGAATTGAAGCAACAGGAAGGAAATGACTTGACTGAGCTAACACAAAGCTTCTAGCAGAGCTGGAGCCACAACTGAGAGCGTCACTCACAGCTGAGCATTGAATTGGAAGCCTGTGTTAAACCAGGCAGATAATTCAGAGCTTACTTTCCTGTACAATAAGATGTCCTTTGTCTGAGGCTGAACTTCAGAGAATTGCTGCTTTCTGACATGTATTACAGGCATGTATGTATGATGGAGATGGTGATTTCAGGAGCTAAGGGTTTCCATTGTCTTTGATCTGGCAAAGGAAGAGGAAGGGGTTTGCTTTTGTCGTTGCAGAGCTGGGTAAAACCAGTTCTGAAGGACCATGTTCTGCAGGCTACAACTGCACCCCTGGCCAGACTTCTGTAACCCCCATCACTGCCCACGGGGCTTTTACTGCCCAGTGGGATCTGCCTTTCCTATACCCTGTGAGAATGGGGCATAGCAGTCCCAGGAGAGGAAGGACTTTGTGACCTCTGCCCAGCAGGACTCTCCTGTGAGGAGTGTGAAGGGGGGGCTGTGTGTTGTGGTAAAAGGGATTCCATGTCGTTTAGGGCTGAGTCTGCCTGTTAGTGACACAGACAATAAAAGGTTATTCTGAATGCTGCCTTTCTTCTGTTAAGGTTCTGCTAAGTCAGTGTGGGTTGGACGGGACATGCAGGAGCAGCAGTTTCTGCCAAGAATGGAAGGCAAAACCCGTTTCAAAGCCCATGGGGTTGTTGGGTGAACAAGTAGGCTGAAGCCAAATCTTTCTCCTATTTGGGGAGAGAAGCTCCATGCCCAGGAAAATACCAGTTACGAAGCTCTCACTGTGTCACTGCTCATGCATGCAACAAGATGAACCACACGGAATGGGGCTGCACAGCTCCCTAGATGGGATTGTGCTCCTAAAGCCATAGGCAGCTCCTGTCACCTCCCCTGAGCAAGGTGCTGTGCTTGTGTCCTAGGCTCTGGAGCGCATACTCCTGAGGTGTGTCCTGCTGGGTACTTCTGCCTGCCTGGCACCAACTCCAGTTTGGAGCACCCATGTCCAAAGGGCACCTTTGGCCCCAGGAGTGGTGCCACCAATGAGTCTGACTGTGAGCCCTGCCCCACAGGTGAGCAGGGAGTTGGCACAAGCAACCCAGGGGCATACATGGGAAGGATGAGGAATACTTCTCCCTTCATGCTATTGACTCCTCCGCCGATCTTCTGTGCAGGCCCTCACACTGAGATTGCTTTTCTGCTCCTTGCAGGCATGTATTGCTCAGCACCAGGCCTGTCACAGCCATCTGGATTTTGCTATTCAGGTTATCATTGTGCCAAGGGAGCCATCAGCCCAGCCCCATTCAAACACAGGGTGAGTAAGTGCCAGGCAGCAGCGCAGTAAACCCGGTGACATGGGGACCTGTCCCTTCTGGGGCAACGTTTTCCAAGCATTTCTGCTCTCTGTGGGGTTGCTTGTGCCTTTTATCGCTGCCCTTGAGAGCTCCTCAGATGCAGTGACATGCCACTGCTCTTGATGTCCACTGCAATGTGTTGCTGCCCACAGATAAACTCTGCTCAGACCCCTGTGTAGCTTGCACTGAGGTGTCATGTCTAATACCTCCTCCAGGAGATGACACAGGGATGGGATATCCACATCTTGGCAGCCAGTGCCAGCTGTGGTCTTTGTTTAGTTCCAGTAGCAGCAGACTTGTAGGACCTCAACATCAGAAGGAGATGGAGCTGTTGGAGGAGGAGGGGGCCAGGAGGATGCTCAGGGGCTGGAGCACCTCCTGTATGGAGCCAGGCTGAGAACACTGGGGCTGTTCAGCCTGGAGAAGAGAAGCTACGGGGAGACCTCAGAGCAGCTTCCAGTGTCTGAAGGGGGCTACAAGGATGCTGGAGAGGGGCTCTGCATCAGGGACTGCAGTGATAGGACAAGGGGTGATGGGTTCAAACTGAAACAGGGCAAGTTCAGGTTGGAGATAAGGCAGAAGCTCTTCCCTGTGAGAGTGCTGAGGCGCTGGCACAGGGTGCCCAGAGAAGCTGTGTCTGCCCCATCCCTGGCAGTGTTCAAGGCCAGGTTGGACACAGGGGCTTGGAGCAAGCTGCTCCAGTGGAAGAGGTCCCTGCCTGTGGCAGGGGTTGGAGCTGGAGGAGTTTTAAGGTCCCTTCTAACCCAAACCGATCTGGGATATTATAACTCTGCTCCTCTGTGCCCTTTCCAGAACCTTGTCTGTAGCACATGGTGCCAAGTCTCTCAGTAACACTTCTCTCCTCTGTTTTATTGATGCAGGTGGAATCTTCCAGCCTTGGGCTGCCCGGGAATGACATCTGTCCTGCAGGGCACTTCTGTCCCCGTGGTACAGAATACCCTGTGCCCTGTCCTCCTGGCTCCCTCTCCAGCATGGTGGGGCTGGAGGCAGAGGAGCAGTGCCAGCCCTGCCCGGCTGGACGCTACTGCAGTGGGGCAGGACTGTCTGATCCAGCCCAGACCTTGCCGTGTAACGCAGGGTATGGGCAGACACTCGCTTCCTGGGGCAAAATAGCAGGATTTGCCTTAGAATCTTTGAAGTTATTTCACTGGTTTTATCAAAACTGAAATAACCTGGGTTTCCAAGGGATGTTTCTTATGCAACGTGCTATAGTGCAGGGTGTCCCTGTTCATTGAAGGGGGTTGGAACAGGATGAGCTTTGAGGGTCCCTTCCAACCCAAACCCTCCCGTGATTCTACTGTGGTGACCCTTGGTTCTTGGTTATTGCCTCCCCCGTCTATTTCCCCAGAACAGGGCTGTGAGCTCTTTGTTTCAGGTCTGAATTCTCTCTCTACAGCTATGTTTGCCTGGAAGGAAACTCTGCTCCCTGCCCTTCTGATGGGATTCATGGATACAGATGTCCCAGTGGTTTCTACTGTCCTGCAGGCACTGTGCTAGAGCTGCCCTGTGAGCCTGGCACATTCAGCCCTGTGCCTGGGGCCAGCGCCTGCCTGCCTTGCCCTGCTGGTATGGCCTGCAGCAGGGCAGCCACTGTTGAGCCACTGAGCTGCCCCAGAGGTGAGCAACACGAGTGTGCGGCAATGGGAAGAGGTACTGATGCCTGCACAACTGCTGGCGCTGGTTCACTCCAGGGGATGGGGTAT